AAATTTAATTATGTGTATACGCAAACTGAAAAAAAGAACAGTTTACACACATAAGATTGTGTTCTGGGCAATATGTTAATGTCTGAAAAAACAATGAACTTTAATCAAATAAACTAAACACACTAAAAGATATTTAGATAGTAATATTTATTAACTATTGAGCTAAAAATTCACAAATGGATAGCAATGAGATGGATAAAAATCTATATATTAAAGCTTGAAATACGTAAGATTCACCCGTCTCAAACAACTAATACCGTACATGAGAAGATGATTTAGAAAAACAAGTATTCTAAAACATTTTAACTATGAAAAAAAATAGTTATTACACAATACACCATTAAGTTTAGAACAGCCTGTCAAATAAATGAACAGTCATATGCATCACGAAAAAAAACACACCATACACGGTTAACAAATATTTGTAAATGAATAAGTTCGTTTTTAATCAAATAAATAGTTTGAAATAAAATTTATAGTACTGATTAGTTATTTGACTTAATTACATATACATGGAAATAAACTTGCAAGATGGCTCATAAAGATTATAACAAAACAATACAATGAAATTATTTAAATATATCAGTATTAAAAGTAGTAAAAATACTTCTATTAAAAGGATAAATAACATATCAAATAGGCAGAAAGAAAAAAGCATTCATTAAACAAAAGAATATTTAATAATGGAAATTGCACGCATACATAGAGTGAGAAAATAATCATGGACCATTACAAATAATTCCACTTTTTATATAACTGTACTAATGTTCACAATGCATGTTAAGTTACTGCAACCTGCGTACTTGTATGAAATCACACTGACCATTAATTGCACTAAGCAACTACTTAAAAAGAAAGCATTTACTTGAAAGTTCACTGACAACAGTTAAATAGATAAACACACATGCATAAATATATATATATATATATATATCATTGTTTACTGTAACATGTTGGTAGGGTAGAAGCATTTTTACTGGAAGGTGGGTGTAGCTGTAAGGGAAGGGGATCTAAGAAATGAAAATAAATATGATAAAATGAAAGCCATTCATACTTCTGCAATGAAATTACCTGCTCTAACAGAATTTGGATCAAACTATGAATTAGTTTATTATTAACAAATGAAATAAATTAGTAAAGGGATACTTATAATTCAATGAAGATAATATTTACAATTAACCCACAAGGGACAATATTTTATTACAGTGCAATAAGCATATTAGCAGTTCAAAAGAAACCCCAAGGTAACTCGATCACTTTCTTGTACAGTGAAATGATGTCTTCATCTATGGCTAAAAACACCAAAAAATAAATAATACATTAAATGTGTTTGTTACTGATTTAAATTAGAGAATTAGATAGTTGCCTCTTTTTCTTTACTTTGGAAAACTGATTTACTCAACATAATTTCTGTTTAAATTGACATGAAACGAATCAAAAGAAACACCCATGGATATTGCACTGATGTAGCAATATGGTTCAAGTTCGTTATAAATTTTTAAAAAGCAAACTGAAACTATAGAAATACTTTTATTTATGTCCCACATTTTCCCTTGACCACATCAACAGAGATTTAAGTTACAATACATCTGTCAATACCAATTATTAACAACTGTAGAACACAAAGTTACTTAAGACCTTGAAAAAGCCATCACACCAAAACATTGGGCATAAATAAGATAGTTTATAACATTGCAGTTAATCTAATTTTTTAATTTAACATGAGTACACTCCATTTCACTCTGCTTGCCTTAAAAGATTATGGAAAAATATGGCTCATTATTATAACCTGATTATTCACCCTTCTATGCATTATCTAGATTTATAACCATTGTTAGAAAGAGATCTGCCCAGACCTGTAACAATTTTCAACTTCCTTGCCCCTCTCCTTTATTGTACAGGTCCCACCCACTTGTCTATTGATCAAAATGAGTTTTTTAGCACCAAAACTACAGTTTTATACTTTTACCTTAAAAAGGATCAGCCATCATTTTTCATAATCATTATTTAACCCTTTAAATTAACAGATCAGGATTCACATTATGGTCTGCAACTGTAATCCACACAATTTTGTGACTAACCTTTTTAAAATAACAAATCTGATGATTATTTATGCTAGGTAGTGAAGGTGGGCATTCAGTCTTTGAGTATCATTTACATGTATAACCTTTAAAAAACAAAATGACCATTCCTTGTACACATTTTACATTAGAAATATTAGTGAGATGTATACTAAAACCTTAAATATTTAAAACTCCATTTGTCATCAGTCCATAAAACAAAAGCTGTTTAGGTGGTATTTACAGGCTTTACATTCAAGAATACTTCTCATATTGTAGCAGATGTTAATGAGATTTAAATACCTAACAATGGGACCTTAATCATCACACAATAAACAAACCACAATACAATCCTGCTAATATCAAACAATTTATTCAATCTACTTGTCTGTTTTAAATCCTTTAAGTGAGCTATATTTCAACCTCTACTTCAACTCTATCTCTTATACAATTAATTCTTCTGTAATAATATTTTCAACCAGCTTTAAAATTTATGCAAAACATTTGTAGTAGGTGGTCAATACAATTGAATTTTTAATCTAAAAATAGATGATTCAAAAAATGTAAAATTTGCCACTAACTGTGTGTGGACTGTTGAAAGCTTTCTTCAGAATGGTAGATTTTCATTTTCTATATCTAGAAAAATTGGTATGGTAACTAGTGAATATCAAATTAATTAACTCATCAATATATTCTGGCTCTTTAATGACAAATACCACAAGTACAAAACTGCAATATCCTGAAATATAAGTTATGTTTTCATAATTCTGTAAGTTCCAGTTTCTTAACCACTTCAACAGATTTAGTATCCCTTTGTTTTCCCTTCTCATGTTTTCAACCTCTGAAAGTAATCTTGATGACCTCAGATGTTTGTGTCATTACTGCTTAGTTCCATTACTGTTCAGAATCACTTTTAGAATTATCTAATAAAGATGCCAAATTATTACTTTCCTCTTCAATACTACCAACATTCAAGTTTTCTCGTCTGATTTTAGCTGCTCTTTCCAAGGCTGAAATATTAGGAAAATTCCGATTTCCTCTGGATGTCAAGAGAGTTTCTGGAAATTCTTGAGCACCAGGTGTCATGGAAAGTACCTTAAGACAGTCATCTTTGGGTTCATTAGCCTGCTCAGTATCCAATTCAAAGTATTCCAACTCTTTACTTACACTGTCTTCTGAATCGGTGGGAGTGTAGTCTTTGAGCAAGTTTCCATTATTCTCACTAACTTGTCCAATTACTTCAAAACTGGATGATTCACATGACTCTCTGTCTACATGAACTGTACAATTAGATGTTGGGGTGGGAGGAATAGAAACAGTCCCTGACACCAGTTCATAATTGTCCACATCGGGACTGGAAGTCTGACTCTCTTCTTCTCTATCTGGTTCAGACAAGTGGATCTTCTGCTAATCAGGAAAGTATAAGTAAGGTAAATTGGTAAGAAATATTTTACATATACTGAGAATACATAATACAAACAAATATCATTATCATGTTGTTATATTAGCCTAGAGCAAAATAAAAATTGTTTGGAGACAACAGTATTCTTTAACACATTCAAATCCTCTTTCATTTAAGATGAACTAAATAATAACCAGGAATGCCAGCTCGTGCCAAATAAAAGCTTTGAGAAGTTCTCTTGAATTGGTTAAGAGTAGTAGCTAGTACCACGTTCAAAATCTACTGAACTAAAAGATATCCCATAATGCAAACCTCTGCCAAATAAGAGAGTTAGAGAGTAAATCTGAATTAAATGTTTTTTTAGGAATACTAACAAGTGCCAAATAAAACATCTACTTGAGGTTAGTGATACCTATCAGAAATGACTGGTCCAAAGAGTTATAGAACTTTAAATGATAGCCAGGGATTTCAACTAAAGACTATTATGTAAAGCTTTTATTTTTTCAATTCCATATGTTGAATTTTTCTGTGCTATGTAGAGAAAAAAGTTATTATCTGTTACTAGCTTGTACTTCTGGATGTTTTCAACTCTGGTTAATTATGTAGATCTCTAATTTTGCACTAATTGAGAATCCTGGGTAATGTTTAGCTCAGATTAACTCTAGATTTTTAATTTTTCATTAGTTGAGATTCTTTGGTAATGTTCAGCACAGGTTAACTATGTAGACCTTTAGTTCTTCATTAGTTGGGGTTCTTGGATAATGTTCAGCTCAGGTTAACTTTCTATATAATTAATTTTGCCTTAGCTAGAATTCCTGGATAACATTTAGCTCAGGTTAACACTGTATACCTTTAATTTTTAATTTGTTGAGATTTTGGTGTAATTTTCAGCTCAGGTTACCTCCATTGATCTTTTTTTTCATTTTTTTGTGTTAGTTGACACTGCTGGATATTATTATACTCAGTTAATTCTGTATAACATTCAGCTTACTTTAACTGTAGATTTTTTACTTTGCACTAGTTGGGATTTCTGTATAACATTCAGCTCACTTTAACTCTGTAGATGTTTTTATTTGGTACTAGTTGGGATTTCTGTATAACATTCAGCTCACTTTAACTCTGTAGATTTTTTTATTTGGTACTAGTTGAGATTTCTGTATAACATTCAGCTCACTTTAACTCTGTAGATTCTTTATTTGGTACTAGTTGGGATTTCTGTATAACATTCAGCTCACTTTAACTCTGTAGATTTTTTATTTGGTACTAGTTGCAGTACTTGATTTCATTTAGTTCAAGTTAGCTTTGTACATTTTGTTCTTGACATTATTTAGGATTCCTGGCTATCATTTAATTAAGCTAACTCTGTAGATCTGTCTTTATTTCATTACTAGTTTGCATTACTGGATATTCATTTCATATTGTTGCGTCAGCGAGTCACGTGACCAATGTGGCGCCCTCTAGTTTCTAGAACTATCTTGTTCTTTCGGGAATGCTCTAGTAATTGCTCGATGTAGGGTGGGCTGGTATATATAAAGGAGGGGAATGTGAGGTGGGTAGATAGATAGTGAGTAATTGAACTGCAGTCGGAAGTATTATTGACGTTCGTTGTTACAGTGTTGTTTTAGCGCG